GCAGTTCCCATATGTAATTAGCTGAATATATTTTACATTTTAAACAACGATTCACTCAATATGTTTGTAAGGAAGCAGCCTGCATATGCAAAGAGAAGACTTGAAACAAGTTCAAAGGGAAAACGGTGAAAGCTGAGGTAGCATACCGAACATGAGGTACTTATTACCGTCTTGTAGTCGCACGCTAAACGATTCTCCAAACCTACTTTCAGCTAAAAATGTAAAGGTCTTTTGAAAAGATGGAGGTTTGATGCACATTTGCACAGCGGATGGCTGGATTCATTAATAAATAAATTTTCTATTTGCACCTAAAGTGCAAATGCATGCATCCAATTGTTGTCTGCTTTTGAGCCATATATACAAGTATCATCTGAAGATACTATGAGCAAGTGCTTAGCCACAGTGAAAAGGAAGAACTTGCTAACAGCATGTTTGACAGAAGATGGATGGACGAATACTGTTTTGAGTTAAAGAGTGACGCTGCCAGGAAGAAGCTTGATAATGAGGACCCACACTTGAAACCACCAGCTGATGAACTGCGTTCCTTGTTATTGTCTTATCGCTTTCCTTGTTTTCCCTTGACAGCGTCATATCTAATAAAACAAGTCAAACTTAAAATGTAAACAAAAGAGGCCCAGAGTATAAGATCTTTGGTGACGTCTGATCATGTGCCAGGGGAACAACTTCACAGGATGTCTGCTGGAGCAGTGAGCAGCTTTCTTCTCAAAGCTATACCACTATTTGGAGTTTGATGGTGATGGAGAGTGTTGGAAATCATGTCTATCCAGCTCACGCCAACGTTTGTTGATTTGTAACTTTCTATCCTCTGCTGCTTCTCTTCAATGTGGCGTCCACAGGGTTCAGTTTTAGGCCCCTTTGGATCTATCTTCAGGAAACATGGGATTTTTTTCCATTGTTATGCCAATGAGTCCCAGATTTATTTTCCTCTTAAAAAGATAAAAGGTTTACCAGCAGACTCCCTGTTCAGATGTCTTGGTGAAATAAAGGTCTGGGTGGCTTTGTTGAGCAAAAAACAGAAGTGAGGAATTTCGGTGACACTTCTGAGACACTACTATGGATCTTGGTTCTTTGGCGCAGTGCGTTCAACTGAACATTACAAATCTGGGAGTTAAAATTGATGCGGATCTTAAACTTGAAAGCCAGGTCAGGGCTTTAAGACGTAGCCTTTTTCATTTGAGGCAGTTAGCCAAAATAAAACCTATTTTATCAA